TTTTTTTTTTTTTTTTTAAAGTAAGCTATGCATCCAAACGTGGGGCTTGAACTCATGACTAAGAGATTAAGAGTTGCGTGCTCTACAGACCGAGCCAGCCAGGCACCCCCTGCCTCTCAAGAGCTTTTCATTCTCTCTACTGAGCTACCTTTGTATTTATTTCCAGTTCCTTGATTGCAGAGGTGAGGTCTTACTCATCCCTGGCAGGTAGAATGATTAGCATTTAAGAAGCAAACTTTGGGGACACCTGGGTGGCTCAGTTCGTTAACCAGACTCTTGATTTTGGCTCAGGTCACGATTTCCCGTGTCATGGGAGCCAGCTCCATGTTGGGCTCTGTGCTGACAGCTCACAGCCTGCTTGGGGTTCTCTCTCTCTCTCCCCCTTTCTCTCTGCCCCTCCCCCTCAATCACTGAGCTCTCTCTTTCAAAATAAATAAATAGGGGCGCCTGGGTGGCACAGTCGGTTAAGCGTCCGACTTCAGCCAGGTCACGATCTCGCGGTCCGGGAGTTCGAGCCCCGCGTCGGGCTCTGGGCTGATGGCTCAGAGCCTGGAGCCTGCTTCCGATTCTGTGTCTCCCTCTCTCTCTGCCCCTCCCCCGTTCATGCTCTGTCTCTCTCTGTCCCAAAAATAAATAAACGTTGAAAAAAAAAATTTAAAAAAATAAATAAATAACGTTATTTTAAAAAGTCAAAATTTGGGGCGACTGGATGGCTCAGTCGGTTGAGTGTCCGACTTCGGCTCAGGTCATGATCTCACAGCTCCTGAGTTCAAGCCCCGTGTCGGGCTCTGTGCTGACAGCTCAGAGCCTGGAGCGTGTTTCAGATTCTGTGTCTTCCTCTCTCTGACCCTCCCCCATTCATGCTCTGTCTCTCTCTGTCTCATAAATAAATGTTAAAAAAAATGTTTTTAAATAAATTTAAATAAAATCAAAATTTGGTCACTGGAATTGGATTGAGATGAAGACTTAAAATAGTAAAATTGCTATTTCTAGGTAAAACATTTCAAAAAATGAGTCAAATGCCAATATGTAGAGAGGATAGAATTCTAGAGAAGTAACTAGTTAGAGAATTCACAAGGAGTATAGCAAGTGGAACAAATAGCCAATGTATTGAAGTGATCAGAGGCAAATAGAGCAAACAGAAATAGGCCTATAAATTGGGCAACAGCTACTCTAGAAACAAAGGAATTTTGGCAGAAAGGCTGTAAAATCAGTGTATGGAAAACATGTCGTTTTCCTTCAGTGCCGTTAACTCATAATAAAACGTTTAACTTATATCTGCAATAGCGCGTCTGTCCCATCGCTCCGGTTG